TTAACATTTAATAAAATGGTAGTGGCCATTTACGGGGTATGGAAGAGAGTTCCTAGCATAAGGGGTGGCAGGAGAGAATACCAAAGGGGCAGTAAGGTGGGAGACATTCAGGGAATGAAAGAAGTAAATGAGCAGAGATGTATGCCGGGGCAGAGCTGTTCAGGAAGTGCTATAATGAGGGTTAAAAATAAAGCTAATTAAAGTAACTATTTCTCTTACAGCCACCAGTGTCATCGTTTTACCATCACACACATACACACACAAATATTTGACAAATCTTCTTTTAACATGAACATTTGAGTGCTGGAAGGGGGATTATATGCTGCTTGCGCTGTATTCAGGCACTTTATTCAATACTGTTGTTGGTAGTTCCTCACCTACGTCAAGAGTACAGTAGCCCTAGATCTTCCGTTCCATAAAACCTGCCATTCCACTCATTGTCTTGTATTACTTTAAAAGCAAATTGAGCATCTCATCCTGTTAAAACAACTTTCTGTTGTGTTTTTAGTGCCTTTGTGCATCGCTGCGGTCGAACAGCTCGAATTGGCCATTTAGGCAGTGCGCTTGTGTTTTTGCTTCCCATGGAAGAATCTTACGTAAATTTTCTCTCAATAAACCAAAAGGTGAGTTGGCTTTTATTTCCTAACAGCAGAAAAGAGTTACAATGAAAACTAATTCATGGGACCTAAAACCAGTTTTTGTTCAAATCCGAATTAATACATTTTAAAACATGTATATGAGATGTTTTAACCTAGCTGAGTAACAAAAAACAGACGTGAGAGAAACTTACTATGTAAACTAATTCATCTCCCTGCTAAAGCAGGATTGTTCCCTGCATTGTGTAATTATCTACTTAATCTAGAATAGAAACTTTGTATACCTTTGTAGTGACATCCTTCTCCTTTTGGGGCTGAAAGTAAAATAATGGTCTTAATTCCACCAGAATAGCAGTAGGACAGTTGCAGTGAGATCTAGTAATTGAGTTGAGTGAGGATTTATGCATTCTTCCCTATTCTCTCAGAATTCAATGTGTGAACTTTGGTTAGGCCATTTAACTTTGTTTCTTCATCAATTAAAAACATGTGGTAGGTAAATATCCGCCATGTGTTGAAGCTTAATTGATGTTGAAGTATGTGTTTGAAGTTCCAATGCTTATTTTAAACCATTACATTTAGCTCTTGCTTATGTTTTTTTCTTTTTTTGGTTAAGTGTCCCATGCAGGAAATGAAACCACTGAAAAATGTGGTAGATGTTCTTCCAAAACTGAAGACTCTGGCTCTGGCTGACAGAGCCATGTTTGAGAAAGGGATGAAAGCATTTGTATCTTGTGTGCAGGCCTATGCCAAACATGAGTGCAATCTTATCTTCCGAATAAAAGGTAATTCCCAGCAGCAGCTGCTATTTTTACTTTACTTCAAAGACTATATTCAGTTTGGCAAAAGTTATATTGTTGCACAAGCACTACAGGCTCATCCACCTGCCAAGTTCTCATGCACATAGTTTACCTTAAGTTAAATATTGATACCACTTTGAAGATGTAAAATTATATATAATCATGAATTATTGACTCCTGAAGTTCTGTAGAAGGAGGCGTAATCCTATTTTACAGCAGGGTAAACTGAGGCACAGAGGATAAGTGATTTGGTCAAGCCACAGAGGGGAGCCAGAGTCAAAGTTGCAGATAAGAACCCAGCCCATGCCATTCTGACAGAGCAAGAAAGCAAATCTTAAGAGAGACATAGACCACTGCTTGCAGTGTGCAGAGATCCTTGTCTGACTTAATGAAAACAGTAAAAGATGCATTACCTCTTGGTGACAGATTTTTCTAAACACATCTAACAGTGGGCTGATTTTGCAGAAAAATGCATTACTTTAAGGACTGTTTATATGACAAGTGTGGTGATTGAATAACTTTTCTTTGGGTCTGTGAGGTAAAGCTGGGCAAGGAATGATTTTTCTGTCTCACAAGAGTTTGAGATTTTGAATCTTTCCTGTCCTGAAATGGGATGAAAAGTTTGTCTTGAAAATTTTTGCAAACCAATAAGATGCATGTTTTTGATTGGGTCAATCAAAGTTTCTAAACGTTTAGTTTTTGACCTTTATTTTACTTTTTTTTAAATAAATTTTGAAATGACTTTTTAAACATTACAGTGGGACATTCTGACAACTTCAAAACTTATTCCCTACCATTATTTTGAATTAGGGCCAGTTTCCACAAATCTCCCATCTTGTAAACAATTTCCATTTGGACAAATTGACATTTTCTGATGAAAAAATATTTTGTTGGACAATTTCCCACTGATAGGCACAGACTTCTAGAAACCGCTAAATAGAGAAGCAATTGAGTATCAGGATGCAAGCAGTATGTTAGGGAAGGAAGGGGTTTTACATACATAAACTCTATCTGCGTTTAACCCTACGCAAATATTAAGATATACACCCCCTCCTTCACAACGCAACATAACCCAGCAAAATACTTAAACATGAGTAGTCCCATTGAAATCAGTGGAACTACTCATGTATTTAAGTACTTTGGTGGATTTGGTCTATTACTTTGTCACATGCTGATATCTTAATCCTTATTTTAACAGATCTGGACTTCGCTAGTTTTGCTCGAGGTTTTGCCCTGCTGAGGATGCCAAAGATGCCTGAACTAAAAGGAAAGTGTTTTTCAGACTTTGTTCCTGTCAGTATTGATACAGACTCCATTCCGTTCAAAGATAAAAATAGAGAAAAACAAAGGCAAAAGCTGTTAGAGCAACAAAGAAAGGAAAGGCAAGAAAACGAAGGAAAAAGAAAATTCATAAGGAATAAAGCCTGGTCAAAGCAGAAAGCCAAAAAGGAGAAGAAGAAGAAGAAAATGACAACGAAAAGGAAAAGAGAAGAGGTAAATTAAGTTCCTCAAACTCACATGTGACTACCTCAGTATAGTCACAGCCAGGTTAGAATGTAACAGTCCTCAAAAGCAAGGGGGGGTATAAGGACTTCAGTCTGGCAGAAAGTTGGAGAACTGTCTGTCCACATTGCCTGCTTGCTACCCCCAAAGACAGAACTTGATGAATTCAAAAGCAAGTTCCATCCAGTCCTCCTCTGCCAGTGACTGGATTGCTTAAGTCTCACTCCTCAGAGCTGTACGCAGTCTGAAACTCAGTACCTGAGTTTCTTGCATTCTCAGAGAGCTTAAGAAAAAAAGTGAGCAGTCAACCCACTATAGAGAGGGACGAGGCTCTATTCCTTGCCTGGCTTCTGTCAGCAGAACCCTGTTGTAAGCCTCGAGTAGCAGAAAGTCAAGATGCTCCATGAAAGCTATGGAGGCCTGAATGGTCCAAAATGGGCAGCATGTAGGAAATACATTGGTTTGTACCTTCCTCAGCCAGCCTCCTCTGGAGCAAGATGTGAGGCTGCCCTCTCCTTGCAAGTGGCTCAAACTCACTATATTCCATGCAAGTATTATGCAAATGTAATGTTTGCTTTACTAAAAGTAAGTTCTTTGTATTAATTTTAACCTTGCCTCCCCCCCTTTCAGTTGTCAAGTTTAATCTTATCTGGGGGTTTCCTTTAATAGGGTCAGGGTTGAATAAGCAGGAAAAAGGGAGGACTTAAGATTTAAATAGTATTTTGAATGTTAATAGAAGGGAATCTGTAGGAATGTGTTGTTTTTGAATTGTATGCTTACGAGAACGGCAAATTGTTTTTTTGGCAACAAGGCAGGAATGACCTTGTTTTAGCGTATATGTTTGGAAAAACTTATTGGCAACATGACATTATTTTTGCAGCTGGTGTTTACGCGCTTAACAGATGGGTTTGTTATTTTGTGTGCATGTATCTTGCCTGCCTTCTGAATGGGCAAAAATGTAACCACTAAGAAGAGTTGTAAACAAAGTAAGGAGAAAAATAAAAACCCCAGGAAAAGTTTTCCTGGGAGGCTTTTGCTTGAGGCTTTTAAAGCTCTCTAGCTACCAAAAACCTGGTGTTCTATTTCCTTTCCTGTGTCGTCACCACAGGAATCCACTGTTCCCCATGTCCCCTTCTGTTACTAAAGCATCTTTAACCCTTATTACTGCCTCATGTGTTGCCGCACATACCAGGGCCAACCTAATATGGCTACGTAATGGATGGCAGCAGCACAATACATGTAACAAAGTGCCAGCAGTAAAAAATTAATATGGTTATTTCTAGAGTGTTCAAATATATAGAACATAAGCATTTCAGTACAGGAGTAAATCGCTGTGTTTCATCTATCTGCAGGGCTCTGATATTGAAGATGAGGAAATGGAGGAGCTGCTGAATGACACACGACTTTTGAAAAGGTTAAAAAAGGGTAAAATTAGTGAGGAAGAGTTCGAGAAGAGGCTGATGAGCAGTGAGAGAAAAGTCAAAGCTGTGGTTGACTCAGAGTCTGAAGATTGACAATCCTGCTTCAAGTGTGTCTCCTTGAAGATGCCTCTTGTTTTAGTAAAGCTGTACTTTTACACAAGGCCACTTCATGCTGTGCTCTGCATTGTTAGTTACCTACAAAACAGCCTTGGCTTCCCTAAGTACTATGTGCATCTAGTAGAATCTCTACAGTCTCTACTGGGGGCACAAGCATAGCTGCAACTTTGAAGACAGAACTAAATCGGACTGCTGTTCCAAAACTGAATGCTTCGGGTAAGAAATGTAGAATTCAGTTATCAGGTCCCTGGTGGATTCTTTTTGTTCAGATGTGTTCCCAACATATCTGGAATCGTTAAGTAATTTTTAAACTTGTTCAGAGATCATATGTGGGGAAAGGCAGTTTAGGTGTCATCCTCAGAATGCTGCACCCCTCTATGAAAATTTATTTTAGATCTTCAGACCCTCAATGACTTACACTTCTGTTTACACACTGGTCCATTTCTATGTAATAAATGAATTCAAAACTTTCTGCTTCATTGTAAAAATCAGAAGGCTGCTGGTAATGGAGTTAATCCTTATACAGTTTTCTTTCTATAACATGTTGGGATAGTTTATATCTGTCAAACTCTGTAACTGTGAAGGGATGGTCATTGAACAACAGAGCATAACGTGCAGTGAATCTGCTTCATTACAGATAAAGTTTAATAAGTTCATCGCTGACAGCTGATGGAGTTAACACACCTAGGTCTGTAAACAGCAATGTAATTAGTGATGGTGAGGTGTAGTCAATCCAGGGGTGCTCCTCAGTTAGACTTCGGTTTGTTTTCAGGGTGTCTGCTTTGTACTGCGAGGGAGAAGAAAACCATTAGTTGTCACAAAATAATATGCCATAATTTTTTGAGCTCTAATAATAATATGGGCGTGACCAAACTTTATGGACCCTAGCTGTAGCTGAAGGAACCCACTGCTCTAACCACAGCATAGACTGGTGCCACCTAGTACTGCCACTTCATCATCTACGGTAATACGTAAGGTTTATAGTTCTGGAAAGTTTCCCTTGATCCAGCCATTCTGCTGCCAGCTGCTTGTCCTGTTACTGAGTGAGCTGCTTCAGGAACAGTATGTTGGTAGAACTTAGGGGGAAGTGCTGTTGCTTCTGGCAGTTTGGTTTAGTGTACATAGAGCAGGAAGCTTTTCAATACTATAAAATACTAGTAAAGTGAGCGAGGGTGGGAAAATATACTTTTGTTTAAGCTATACGGTATGTTACTACAGGTCAGGAGGGGCTTTGACTTACCCTAGATAGAGAAATGTAAACTACACTTTCAATGCATTAGGTGTAAATTCATGGCTAAGATCTTAATACCATAAATTTATTTGCTCATAGAACAATTTATGTGCAGCTCTGTGGGTTAGCAAGTATTCTGAATTTCCCTTACCTTAAATTTATCTGGGACATCCTGTTGATTCAGAGGGAAGAGTCTTACAAACTTGAAGCTTTCTGCTACCACATAAAACGGTTTATTCTGAGCTTTGGCACACACAGCCATTTGATTTGTACCAATCTGCAGAGACAGTTTAGATGGAAAACAGTATATACACTCAGTACTAGAGTGACAGTAAACTTCCATGGTTCCAAGCAGTAAACTCTTCGAGAGTACTTAACATCCGAACTGAAAGCACTTCTGAAAAGCCCGGAACTCTTCATAGAAACCAAACTTAAGAAACAGACTGCTCCTTTAAAAGAGTTTTATCTGTGCGTCATTACGGGTCACAACACTCCTGTGATCTAGGCAAGTATTATCCTCATTTTACAAAGCAGAAGACTGATGCATAGAGGAAGCAGTAGTACAAAAGGGAACGGAAGCCAGGAGTCCTGACTTCCACTCTCTATTCCGATAAACGAAGAGTACTACCTACCAGTGTGTTTCAGGTCAGGAAAGTTACATCTTTGTTTATTCTAACTAGCTTTCATATCTAATGTACTCTTCCTTCAAGCCAAAAAAATATCTTTCTATCTGCAAACTAACTACTCTTTAGGCTATATTTTATTTTGCATATCAATATGAAAGTTGCAAACAGAATATGGTTATTTTTAAAAAGCAGAGTAAGTAAATAAAGCCATTGCCTTAGGTACAGACTTTGATGCTGACAACTCTGTAAAACAAACTGAGGACTCTGAAGCAAAATTGATTTAACCTTAAACTTTAGTGTGTTGTAACCATGAAGACTATTCGATTGCAGTAGGCTGTAGAAAGTGGCAACTTATTGTAATAGTCTTAATCATGACATTAATGCAGGGGTTATCCACACATAATTAGCAGCAGCTATCGGAGTTTCCTGAATAAACCCCCCTATCTAGAAGGAGCCCATTAAGCTAGTGAGTAAAAATCTAGTAGAAATAAAATACAAACATTGCTCACATTTTCAAAATCTATCAACACGCACAGTCAGTGCCAGGTATATGAAGAATCACTAATTCACTACCTCTTACCTTGTTAATAATTCCTCCACTTTCAACCACGCCTTCAGCACCAACTATTACTAGGTTCACTTTCTCCATGATGTAGCTGTTTAAGAAAAAAAGTTAAATCATATAGTGTAGTACTAGAAATGTGACTTAATTTTGTTAATACCTCATGATCGTTTTGCTTTTCCAGTAGACTAGTCATTCTTGCAACTATCCAGATATATGCATGCAGCCTATTCATATGTCCTTGGAATTATCCTTCCTTGATCTCCCCAAACAGGAATATTAAATAACCAATGCTTCTCCAAACATACTTGAGGTATTGACCTCAAAAGTTGCTGAGGATATTTTGGCTGAAGTCTACTAGTAATCAGTTACAGAAATTTAGATATTCCACTATTATGAAGTTATTTTACCTCCACATTTCAAGATGGTCACAACCAAAATATACTTTTAAATAATTCCAAATGCCTTTAATCCCGCGTTTTCCCTTCTTTCAATGCCCCCTCACATCTGTTTTCTCCTTCATGGAGGATACGGATAGAAAGAAGATACTTTGTACTTTTATACAGCACCTCTCATCCAAGGAGATAGCATGTGTCTTGGTGCATGAAGGAAATGCAACACCAACTAAAATGCTCATAAGGAGAGAAGTTATATTTTTTCAGTTCTGTCTCTAAGAGTTATCTGGCCAGATAACATGAGATCAGTGACTTGACTGATTAAGTTAACTTCCTTGTAAAATACAGCAAGTAAGAGTGGTGTGTATCTTCTTGACAATTGCCTCTCAGGCATTTTGTATTGGATAGAGAATTAAGTTTTACTAACACACTGTTCATAAGAACATAAACATAAGAACAGCCATACTGGGTCAGACCAAAGGTCCATCTAGCCCAGTATTCTGTCTTCTGACAGTGGCCAATGCCAGGTGCCCCAGAATGAACAGAACAGGTGATCCATCCCCTGTCACACATTCACAGCTTCTGGCAAACAGAGGCTAGGGACACCATCTCTGTTCCATTCTCATGCATATAGGACTCAAATTCTGGTATCTAGTAAGCAATTATCAGCTTTTTAAAAAAAAATCCAGTAACTGCACTTATGTATATATAAAGCATCTGACTTTAAAAAAAACAAAACAAAAACACTGGCAGGCAAAATGGAGCCCTTACTAATAGCATCTCAGCTCCTTTTCTCCCCTATATCCTTAAATGCTACACTTAAGCTTAATTATCTTTTTCAATCTAATATCTAAGCATTATCGAATACTTCTGCTTGATTTATGGCAATCACATTATCCTGTCAAAAGATTTAGCTTGTATAGTAGCTGTGCCAGTTGATACTACAGTGAAAGGTTAAATTAGCAAAACCACCCATTCCAATTTGAACAAGCTTTTGGGAAGTTCATATATACTATAGTCAAAATGAGAACCAGAAGGACAATGAAAGGCTTGTTAACATCTAAGAATGTAATTAATATACTTACCCAACTGCAGCATCTAGAATCACAGTCACAGGAACGTTGAGCTTGCTAAGGGCCTTTGCCATTTTTTGCCTATTAAAATAATGTTTATGAAGTTTTTAAATCTTTCTTTAAAGAGGTCAGTGAAATTCATAGATGTGATAAAACTAATTTTTTTCAGTATATATGAATGAAACCTGATAGGGCCCTACCAAATTCATGGTCCATTTTGGTCAATCAATTTCATGGTCATAGGATTTTAAAAATTGTAAATTTCATGATTTCAGCTATTTAAATCTGAAATTTCACGGTGTTGTAATTGTAGGGGTCCTGGCCCAAAAAAAGTGTTGTGGGGTGGTCATAAGGTTATTGTAGGGGGAGTTTGCAGTGCTGCTATCCTTACTTTTGCACTGCTGCTGGCGGTGGTGCTGCCTTCAGAGCTGGGCAGCTGGAGAGTGGTGGCTGCTGGCCGGGAGCCCAGCTCTGAAGGCAGAGCCGCCACCAGCAGCAGCAGCAGCAGCGCAGAAGTAAGGATGGCCTGGTATGGTATTGCCACCCTTACTTCTGCGCTACTGCCTGCAGAGCTGGGCCCTCAGTCAGTAGCTGGCACTTTCTGGCCACACAACTCTGAAAGCAGCAGTGTTTGCATCTCCCTATTAGTAACTGTGGTTCTACAATCACTCCTTTTTTTGGTTTCTCCCTGTTGTATGAAAAACTTACACAAATAAAGGGGAAAACAAGCTGACTATCACAGAAATAGTGAAATTGACAATACAGGGAGTAAAACTGAAGAGTCCCCTCTAATCATTCAGTTTAGAAATCATAGGTATGACTTGTAACTATATAAGGTAAAAGACTCAGACAAATGTGATTAAATTGACAGTTTACTGTACATTTAACACCCAGCTTTTTCATCTACTTGGTGTTAGATACAAGATACTATGAACAGAGTATACTGTGAAATGTTACTTTACTGAAGCTGATAAATCACACTTTATCTGCCAATCTTCAGGTATTTCAATTGTCATTAGAAATGAAACTGCCTGGTTGGTTGCACTGGTTGTTGTACAGCGTGTATGGTTTTCCTTTACTTCCTTCAAACTATATTGTATCCTCTGGAGACTGACAGCGCTGTACAGAGCTGTCAGTAATATACACTATGTAGAGTCTTAAAGGGAACTTTAAAAACAAAACAAAACACAAAAACCACCACATTTTTGGTAAACATTTGTATCCTCCTATTGTTACAAGTAACACTTACTATTAGCTTATTTTAAAAAATACTTCAAGTTGACTGTCCTTTTAAGCAATCATTCTTAGAGAAAAAATGGGTTGCCTAGCAGTAGCTGGTCATTAAAGTTTTGTTACACCTTAGCTGGAAAGCTTGGGGATGCTGTAATATGTTTACTTGATAGCAGTTGATAGCGGTTCTTTGGAAGGGCGTTGCTGTAGATGATCTGTCAAGAGGGATGTGATGTTTCGCAATGAAATAGTTCTCTTTCAATAATTAAAGAATAGGTAAAAGCTGTTTTTAAAATAGGACTCCACTGATGGACATTAGCTCTACAGTATCTTACTAATCAAGAAGACAAAACTGACATATACTTGCCCTGCTTGATCGGGCTGTGATTCAGTAATATAAACACTGAAACGCTTCTTTGATGCAGCAGCTGCCTCTAACACTCTGAGGACCACTCTCGAATAGGCATGCGTTAATATTCGCTGTTAAAGTAACAGACATTTTACTACTTTAGCAAGTTTCAGGAAAGCTTTGTTATTGTCATGATCTCTTGTAATTATTTACCATGCACAAATGTTTTAAACATAATCTTCAGTTACTTTAGATGATATCCCAGATTTCACAAAAATGTAACATTTTAAGAGTTGTAGATACTTTTGGTGACCTGTCCAATATTAAACTCCTGTATTTTTTACAAACCATGGGATGTCAAGCCATCATGAAAATTGGACTTTATAGGACACTCAATTACTGAAGCCCTGACACTGAGAGGGGCTGAGAACCCACAACTTCCATTTAAGCCAGTAGTTGTGGGTGCTTAGTACCACTTAGAACCGGGCCACAGGCTTAATGTCAGTCTGTATGGAAACAAAGGTGGAGGGAGGAGAAAGAAAAAGGGAGTTTTAGAAAATATTTGAATATGTGGCATAAACAAATGTGATGGGTGATAGGTAGGAGTAAAATCTTTACTTGGGAAAGCCAACATCAGATAATGTGAGGTCTCCTTAACAGATGAGGATAAAACCTATTTCCTCCATCACTTGAAATAATGGAACACCCAGAACAGAGTAATCGGTCCTGACATACTTACAGCACCATCTTTGATAAACGTATGGCAGAGTTTTGCAATTTTGTTTCTTGAAAGAGAGATTCTCCTAAGGAAAAGTTCCCCTCGTTCAATCATGATTTCTTTACATTTTGAATAGTCCTGGAAAAAGCAGTAAGAACAAAAATTAGGGCCCAGGATTACTTTGTGAGTAGTGTTACTTTGTGGATGAGTGAAGCATTACACTTGGTGACAAACTCACCGAGTACTCCAGTGAGGTGAGACTGATAAACCTTAGGAAGAGCTCTCCCCCTGAAGAGACTGCCACCGAAGAGTCAACACCAGATAGAGTTTCAATGGCATTTTTGAGATTTACTCTCAAACCCTGAATGGTCTCACCTGAGAGAGAGAGAGAGAAATGCAAACTTAATTTCAAAACAAGATACTCATTACATGCTAGACCAGGGGTTCTCGAACTGGGGGTCGGGCCCCTCAGGGGGCCGCAAGCTGTCAGCCTCCACCCCAAACCCTGCTTTGCATCCAGCATTTATAATGGTGTTAAATGTATTAAAAAGTGTTTTTAATTTATAAGGGGGGTGGCACTCAGAGGCTTGCTATGTGAAAGGGGTCACCAGTACAAAAGTTTGAGAACTACTGTGCTAGACAGAAGTTTAGGTGTATTCTGGTATGGCACTAATGGGTGTATTTTAAAAATTTCCAAATGACTAACTTGGTATTTCTCCTCCTGGGATTACAGTGGAAGCTTATTACACCATGTGAAAATTTTTCAACTGATTCCATAAGTTTGAGTACAAAATCTATAGTCTTGTAAGCCCTACCTGCCGCATGCCCTCCATCCACCTTTCTCTAGAATAACAGTCATCTAAAAAGAGAATATAAACACTCCTGAAACGTGTATTACTGCCAGGAATGAAAACTGATGAAATTACTACTACATAGTCAACAGCAGTGTTGACTGCTCCTGCCTGCCCATCAGTGTGCTTTGATTGTAACCTGAAGGAACACGTTCTTGCCGCTAATGAGGTAATTCAGCACCCATGCTCAGTCAATGCTTAGCCACTCTGTGAGTAGAAGAGCACATATCCAATGAAGCAGATTATATTTAATGAAACAAACACCAAATACATTTTGAAAACTTTTTTGGTACTATTTCTGTTTCCCAGATTTTGATTAGTAATGCACGCTTCTCACAGCATGTGCTCATTTCTGCACAACATCTTCCAGACAAGTTTCTTATTTCTAACTTTGGATGGAGTGTAGCCTGCTTTTTTTGCTCAAAGACCTCCATGTTTAACTCTTCTCTGAACTTTAAAAAACAGTATAACATTCAGGTTCAAAACACAGGGCTTGCCTTTTACTGCAATGCAGGAACTGGACTGTTAGTTTTGCTTGTGAAAAAGAAAAGGCAGGATCTTGGAAGCAGAAATGAACTGCAGTTTAGCTTGCTTCTTAAGAAAGCAAAAATTAAATAATCACCTGAAATGCAACAAAGCTCTGAATTTCAGTCACCTGAAACACCATGAATGTGATTAGGTGTGTCTCAAATATTTAGGGTTGGTAGAATTTGATTTTTTGTTTTAAATAATTTCGATGGATAATATCAATAGTTATTTGTGAGCATTTTTAATTTTTATTGATTTGCATTTCACAGTTCTGCAAATTTTGGGGTTTTTAGCATCTTTTTCAGTTTTTATCAACTAACAGTTTTCACAGTTGCAGGAAATTATGGGGGTGTCAGACAATAACTTATTAGGGATCTTTCAGAGTAGCAGCCATGTTAGTCTGTATCCTCAAAAAGAACAGGAGTACTTGTGGCACCCTAGAGACTAACACATTTATTTGAGAATAAGCTTTTGTGGGCTACAGCCCACTTCTTCCGTTTTTCCCCATGCTGATAATAGCTCATCTTAATTAATTAGCCTCTTAGAGTTAATATGGCTACTTCCACCTTCTCATGTTCTGTATGTATATATCTCCTTACTATATGTTCCATTCTATGCATCTGCAGAAGTGGGCTGTAGCCCACAAAAGCTTATGCTCAAATAAATGTTAGTCTCCAAGATGCCACAAGTACTCCTGTTCTTTTTATTAACCTCATTCAGTAATGATCAGGCAGCATTTTTCTTACTTTGCCTGTTTTTAAACGTTGATAATTATGGATGGAAACATTTGTTGTCGGTTTGTGTGCGGACGGTGAATCCGTCCAAGCCTATCACTACTGCAAGGTGGTCGGTGAGGTGTAGTACCCCTGCCCTCTACTGGACGGATTCAGGACTGCTCGTCCTACGGGACCATCTTCCTTTCGCTCCAGGACAGGGGCCTGGGCGCTCGGAGCAGGGTCCGCGGGTTCGAGTCTCGCTCTCGCCCCGCAGCGGAGCACGGGCTGGGCCGGCGTTTGCCAGGGCCCCGGTACCTTTGTCTCTCTTCAGGAACTCCAGCAGCGTGCGGATGGCGGCCACGGCCGAGGCCACGTCGGGATCCTCCCTCATCTGGGCTTTGAAGGCCTCGATCAGCTCTGCAAGGGAGACGGGGCCCGTCAGTCACAGGGACCCGCCCGGCCTGGGGAAAGCCCCCACCTCGGGCTGGCCAGGCCTGGTCCCCCGTCCGCGGAGGGGCCGGGCAGGCGGGATCTCGTCTCGCCCCCGCCGGCAGGGGGCAGCCCCAGGCCGCGAGGGATGCTAGTGCACGTACGCCGCGGCGTACACACCTGCCTCCGGGGGCGGCTCGGGGGAGGGGCCGGTTAATCTCCCACCCCCGGATCGGGCCCCGGCCCCTGTTACCTGCTTCGTTCATGGCTTCAGCTGCCGGCGGGACCGGGCCTCTGGGAGCAGCAAGAGCCGGCTCCGTTTCCCCCTCTCACGCGGAGGGAGCTGCTGTCCCCGCCCGGCCCCTTTTCGCGGTGACACCGGCGCCTTCCCCCACAGGCCGGCTCTTGCCGCATCACGCGTGACGTACTGGGCAGTGCGACGAGTGAGCGGTGACATCATCTCCAGGCGCCGGAAGCGACGGCCTAGCCGGTGTCGGCTCTCCGCCTGCCTGGGGCTGGGCACTATGAGCGCAGGTGAGTCCTAGCAGGGGCCTCGTCCTGCCGCCCGCGGGCCGCGCCGGAAGCGGGGTGGGGTGTCTGTCATCTCCCCCTCGCGCTCCTCAGAGCCCGGGCCGAGGCCTTTCTCTGCTGCCACTTCTCCCCGCCGCGGGGGACCCTCGGCCCTGTCCTTCCTCCTTCCCCAGCCCTCTACTGACAGCCCCGGGGCTGCGCGCCCGGCGGCTGGGAGAGAAGGGGTGGCGGGTCCCCCCAGCGGATGCAACTGCTGCCTGCGAGGCCCCGCCTGTTTGCAATCGGGGGCCGCTGAGCTGGTGCGGAGCGGGGGTTGGTAAGCAGCCAACACCCCCTTTTTTCCTCTTGTCATTCACATGTAGCCCCAGTACTTCCATCTCTCCCCCCCATTTGGTTTAAAAAATGTTCCTGCGCTGGGATCTGTGAATCCCAGAGAGGCTGATAAAAATCCTGGAAAGTAGCCCGGTGTAAGCAAAACACTCTAATTAGTTTAGCTCGGGAATAGCCCCTGATACACAGTTGCTTCATTTCTAGTGTGTCGTCGTCCCCCCCGTCCCCGTATATCTGGGTTCAAAAATATATAATGCTTCATTATGTATAACATAATACATTCTACTCCCCTTCCATGTTTTATGGCGTTCATGGAATTTTTGGTAATAAACTTATGGAATAACTGCAGTTATGCTGAATCTTAGATGGTTTGATCACACATTCTTGCTAACATTTTTTTTTTGCTATTGTGTCTGAGACTGAAAAGTGTTACTAAAGAAAAACATGTCTAATAGTAGAATATAAGGCCCTGATTCTGCAAACACTTATGCACACTCAATTAAATGGGCATCAAACCAACTAGTATTTTTGCTTATGGATCTTTAAATTTTGGCCTTCCCATATTTCTAAAGAAGCTGTTACTCGATGCCATATTGTCAGTGTGTTGTCTGTTCTCAAACATATGTATTATTATTGCTTTTCTAGATGATGAGCTAAATCTCTTAGTCATCATCGTTGACACCAATCCTATCTGGTGGGGGAAGAAAGTGCTAGGAGAATCAGAGGTAAGGCTTCCTGACTAGCATGGGGTCACAATGAAGTTTTCCAAAAGACTTTTTCTGTAATTTTTTGACAAAATCTGTTTTATTTTAAATGCATGACAATCCAAATTGAACTGCATTTGCTGGAGAGAAACTGGGAAATACTCTTTGAATTCAAAATTATGCTAATATTGCCTAATGATAAAATAGTTGAAATAATGTCTTGTCATGTCTAATGCCCTTTTAAACAAATGATATGCTGGATTGGTTTGCGCTGCAGCAGTTTGTCTGACTGAATACAGGATGGAGAGTCAGGTACTCCTGAGTTCTAATCCAAGTTGTTGTCACTGACTTGCTCTGTAGTCTTGGCCAAGTAAATTAGTCTGAAATTTTCAAAATTGGCCACTAATTTTAAGAGCTAAACTTGAGGCATCTTGGGCCTGATTTTTAGAAGTGTTGAACACCCAAAACTCTAGTTGAAATCAGTGGAAGTTGTCGGTGCTCAGCACCTCTGAAAACCAGGCTGTTGGTTTCTCAGGTTGGACATGCACATTTGATTAGGGGATACTTGAAAATTGTAAAATCTCTATTCCTTGGTTTCCTCATTCTTAAAACTGGGATGATAATACCCACATCAGAGATTTTGTAAGGATTAACTAGTTAATCTTTGTGCTGTGCTTTGAAGATGCTGAACCCTGTATAAATGGTATTCCAATGCCAAACATGTTCTGGAGCATGACAATGATTATTAGTGGTTCTGAGGGGTGCCAGTCTCTCATATATAATATTTATTTTAATTTCCATTTCTGTCTCTGTATGCACAGACACAGAAGTGGAAAAACACTTTTCCAGACACTCTCCCACGTACTACAGAGAGGATTATCTGCCTTTTGAATTTCATGTTCATTCCCTTTGTAAATTCCAAACACTAAGGAAAATATTACTTGTATGTGCAGATTTTTTTTAAAGTTCTTATTTAAATTCGGTGGCTCTTCTGGTACATCTATTTTTCTGAGCTTTTCACACGTGTCCTTTTTTGATTTTTCTTTTTTCAACAGTTTACATTATCAAAATGCCTGGATGCAGTAATGGTGATGGGAAATTCACATCTATTTATGAATCGTAGCAACAAACTTGCTGTAATAGCAAGTCATACACAAGAAAGGTACAATAGCTTTCTTATATAGTATCCTTTTTATTTATAAAACTTGCCTTCATATATTAGTCTTTTGAATAGCTCAGTGTGCTGTAGAGAATAATTCAAACCAAGGTTAAAATACATGATCTATTAGATACCCTTTTAAAAAAACCAAACGAATAAAAACATTGAGGGGAGGGGATTGTGGGTTGGTGATTATTGAATGCAAAAGAAAACAAGAGAAAGGGATTGTGAGAAGAAAGAGGTGAACAAAAATAGCTTTTGAAATTAAAAATAAAAATACTGACTTTTAAATCTTGACTATTAACAAAAGAGGTGGCAAGTTCCCTTTCTGGAGATTGTCACAATAACAGGGTGATTGCTTGCTGAGCTAAGAAATGAGGGGGAGTTCCTTAAAGGCAGATGGTGTCTGAATGCCAGTTCCCAACAGGATGAGTGTCAGAGAGAAAGTATTTAATGTTGGTGGGGCTTACGCCATTTAGGGCTTTGTAAACACACTCCTTACATAGTTATTAGTGTCCTGGGTACTAAGAATTGTTTGGAATAAAATTTTGTCACAGTGGTTGAATTTGTGGCTCTTCACCTATTTCCTTAAAAACAAATGATTAATACTGTGCTGCTGTTTCTCGCTTTTAGTCGTTTCTTGTACCCTGGAAAGCACTGGGCATTTGCCGATCTCTTTGGAGACGGTGGTAGTTTCGTAGAATCTAATTGCTCTGGCAGCAAAGATGGAAAATATGAATTATTAACTGCAATAAATGAAATAATCACAGAGGAGATTAAAGACCTGATGACAAAAAGTAAGATGATTTTTTGTTAATGAATATAGCCATCTTGGTTAATTTGGTTCCACATTCTTGTTAGTTTTTTTTTTAAATACTGTTTAAAGTAAGAAAAATAATACTTTGAGATATTATGTGAAAAGGACACTGTTAAGGAGATTACGTTCCACATTTTACCTATCTTTATAATGATTATAATCTACTTGGGAGCTGGGTTGCTAAAACAACTGTACAACTGATTAGAACACACCTGAAATATTTTGTCCCATTCTAGGCAGCTCAATATCAGAAACCTGTAATCAAGCTGGAGGGAATTCAGAGAAAAGCAAAAAACCTAAGGGGCTGATTTAATAAAGATTGAAATAAGTAAATGTGGACGGTTTGGCTAAATGATAACTAAGGATATGATCACTGTCTACAGGTCTGGCTGAAGTAAAGGAAATTCCTAAGCTTAATATGAATAACTACAAAATAGCTGGAAAGAGCCCTAGGAACTGATGGAAGCTCCTTTGCATTTGTCTTTTGAAGCTTATTCTCCATCATTCCATATTTTGTTAATGTGCAAGAATTTGAGGCCAGTGGGATACTGAATTATCGAACCTTTATTAGAGCCTATGCTTTAATGTTATTTGCCCAAGACACAATTCAAATTAAATGTTTAGTATTCAAATACTTTTAATTTGTACAAAGGTCATTTCTGTGTATTTTTGGATTACAGCTGACATGAAGGGCCAGCAAACGGAAACTTTGTTGGCAGGATCACTGGCTAAAGCACTTTGTTGTATCCTTTTTAAAATACTGGAATTTTCAAAATCTCTCTCTCTCTCTATCTTATGTTGTTCACACCGTCATTGTAGGGAATCTTGAACTCTTCTGTGGTAGCATTCTGTGTTAGAATATTGTCAGTTTATTATGCTAAAGTTATGACTTATGAGTATAATACCATCAGATCAGAAACTTCAGTAAAGTGTGTGTTGGTAAAAGAGGGTAAAATTGTTTAGTGCAGGTAGTACATTTCCTATCTATTTTAGTAAGTTTTGGAAGGTTTATACATCTGTTTCCTGAATAGAATAAAATGTTTCCTGAATACCAAGTGTAATAGATATTCACAGGATGAACAAGGAAGTAAAAGGTACTGTCTTTTCTTCTACTTGAATATTTACCTGAATATTAGAACTAGGGGGGAGGGGAAAATGCTGGCCCTTTTTCAACTGGCAGCAGTGGGCAGTACTGGTTGTCCTAATCATCTAAACTACCCAATTTGAGCACCGATTGAAGATTGGTAATATAGGGGTTGACATGTGTAACAGGGTGTGCTGAGTCAGGAGCTAATTCAGCACCTGTCACTGTAATACCCACCAGTATATGTTAAGTGGGACCTAACTGGAAGACAGACAGTTGACAGAGGGTGTCAGTTAACTGAATTAGCACTACAACTGAAAGGCTAATGGAAGCAGAAGCAACCCCAGCAGGTGGGATTATATACATTGCCAGGAAGGAAGAGTGGGGATCTTGAAGGAAGGCTGAAGAAGGCAGAAGGCAGGTGCTGCTTGTACTGTTCTCTTCCTAGAGGCAAGTGGGGCAGCTGGCTATGGAATCTAAATACATGTAAATAACACTTCAGGCTGTGGCCTGCTGAAAGACTGTAATAAAGTCTGGTGTTGGTGAAGGAGACCTGGAGTGGTTGTGGTCTGTGATTAAGGCCTGAAAGGACTCTTGGGGATCACCTCATGTCACTATATGTAAGTTGATCTTTGTGACAGCAAATTAATAACCCTAACCCTTTTGTGATGTGGACATCTATGCGTTGGATTGAAATTACAACCAGAAAGTCATTATGATGACTGTCACACACTTGTGAACTGGTCTGTGTTT